TTTCATTCAGAGGTGCCAACTGGCTGCGTTATAAAAATAGAATTTATGTTACTCGTAATTTGCACACAAAAAAAATGTGAAGCAGCGTGGTGGAATCAGGCTCTTGTCAAAATAATCAAAATGAAGAAACTGGCATTTTTCCGCAGGTTTGTGAATTTTTATCAAATTTTTGTTTTTTGGCTCAACACCTTTCATGCCCATTAAAGAACTCATTTCTGTGTGGATTTTTCTGAAAAACGTAGATTAAAGGCACAAAAAATGTAAATTTTCAGTTACCACGGACTCTTAAGCCAAGGAAATAACTAAACTTTGGTGGCCATTTTCTCACTAATTTTACCTCTGAAAACAGGTGCCCCCCACCTCCTTCTTTCACAAATATCTCGACTTATATTCAAGATAAATGGATATTTTTTTCAACCAAATAAACACAGGTTAACAAGCTTTAAGATGATTTCTATAACTCTACATGCCCAAAAACTGACGAGAGCCTGATTCCACCGCGCTGCCTCACAAATACTTTCAGAACAACCACAAGTATCCACTTCATCAAGAACAAAAACTCACGCAAAAGAAACGATAGTTCTCTTCATTGGAAAAAAAAAATGATTGGGTTCAAACTCAACACAAACATCCAACATCCAATCATCAGTTCAGTATAAGAAGCTTTTCTCAAGCAGCGAAACAAAACCAAAAAATCGACGATAAGCTGCAACAACACCTACAGAGCAAGTAGTTACTACTAAATTACTTCTTATTCAATTTTTATTTGAAAGGACTGAAACACTTCCATTGAATAAAGTTTACAGCAGCATCTATAATTTCAGTGCACCACTTTCACTGCGTATGGAAAGTAAAATGTATATAAGTATATAAGCGTATATTTCGTCTTCAGAAGAAAAAGTCAAAATCTCATGCTTTTACATATTTGGTGCACATAATTTTTGCTTCGTTGTAAAAAATAATATTGATGTAAATTTCATCTCTATAGGAAAAGAAAGCAAAATTTCAAATGAAAGTATAACACAAAGAAAATGTCACCAACCAACACAACAGCACTGGACAGTAAGGGGAAAGTGGAAAAGTAAAATAAGCAATGAGATCACCAGTCAGGAAGAAATGGGGCGGGAAGAGACAAGGAGGTCAACAACCCTAACCCTGCTGTGAGTGGCCCAGCAAGAAAGAACATAATTTATGGAAGTTTTATCAGTTAAAGAACTGGATCGCTAACAACAACAACTGGATCGCTAACAACAACAACTGGATCGCTAACAACAACAACTGGATCGCTAACAACAACAACAACATCTGTCAAAAAGGCTGAAACGTGTGAGGTGCGCAGGACGAGAGAAAGAGATTCAACTTCACCGAGGGGAAGAGACTGAGAGACTGGCAAGGAAAATGAAACTGAACCGCAAGTCTAGAAAACTGATGCTATTTGTAAAACGTGGAAAGTTGAGGGGCGGAGAGGGGCGGAGAGGGGGGGGGGGGGGGCATTTAGTACCCTTGCAAAAACCTTCACCACGGAAGAAGCCTGACCCACCACAGGAAACGCTGCCAGAGTTGCTAGTTGGAACAGAAGAACCGCGGGGAAAGCCAAAAAACATCTCTGCCTGACGTGTCTCTATCTACCTCACAGAAGCCATTTCAATATGACATTTCAAGCATGCAAAGCCAGACATGAAGGAGAAGTTGTTACGACCACCGCACTATGCCCATCTGTTCAATGGTACACCCCCCACCCCACCCCCCCAAAAAAATAAAAAATAAATAAATCTGGTTTTATTATTCTTGTTTAAATTAATGTAAACGGCAAGAAATACAAAACAGCCAAAGCAAAGTCAACACAAGTAGCATTCTCCATCAAAAGCAACAAACGTGTCAATCTAACAAAAAAACACATCTGAAGAGAAAACAAACATGGAAAAGAATTACAACATATATAACAGCCAAACTGAGAAGAGAAAGAAAAGCCTGATCTACTCCCAGTGACTCACTCACATCATACAGTCTGCATTTATACATTTATCTCTCCTCCTTTATCCTCCTCCTCTTATGCCCTCCTCCTCCTCTTATGCCCTCCTCCTCCTCCACCCCCCCCCCCTCCCCTCAAAAACAAATTTCTTAAACCCACCCTCATCATCGCATTTTCAAACCAAAGCTGGGCACTGCTTTTGGTAAACTCTTTTAATAAAAACCTCAGCCTACAAACACGCCTGGACAAATTCTGCTGGGCTATTTCACTGTCATCCATTCATTTTTTACTCTGTCAAGAGAGTACAATTTTGAAAAAAAAGCAATGACAACAAGAACAACAATGAAGCAAATTGAACACATCATAGCTCCACACACTTAAGATGGACTGGAAAGTGGAAGTGGTGGTGGGGGGAGGAGGGGGGGGGTGGGAGGGAGAGAAGGAGAGCCTCGTCCATTTGCCCCGATACCATCGGCTACTACAGTGTGAACAACAGAAATATAAGAAGATGTTTACCTAGTGCTCTTCAACCGTCGGGTCAGTGAGCCACGGGCTTCCTTTGGGAGCGCCTTCAATGCAATGAAGAACAGAGTCAGTTCACGGAAACACACACACACTACACAGTCAGGCTGGCGGGTTCCACTACGTTAGTCTTACCGAAACTTATGATAGGACTTACTGACGCTGACTACTAAAACTTTATCTGCACTGGAATTTTTTAAAGTTTTGTTTTACAAAGTGTTTTACTGCACTTGCAACACAATAAGGTCATATAAGTGCGGAACATTAGAGGTATGACAAGAGAGTACTAAACACAAAAAAGAAGGAGGGAGAGATAAGGCGATAGATGTTTGATAGGCAAAAAGGAGCAAACCACACCAGAGCACCCGCCAACATATATTTCAACTTCTATTTAAGATAGCTTGATATTTTATTTATCAAAAGCAAAACAAAAGAAGCTCTAAAATGATACCAATAACTAAATATCCCCAAAACTATAAGAGAGCCTGAAACACTATGTCGTAACACAGAGGTCCTGTCTGCAAGTTGCACACATTTAAGATCCATTGGTGGTCCTAAAATAAGAGCAGGCGTCAGCGCCACCTGAGCAAATTTTAACAGGCAAGCAGCCTTACAAAAAAGGAGAAACAGGGTAAACAGTCATAAATGCAAAAATCAGATGCACTGCAAGTTGAAAAACCGGCAGTTGTCTACCCCTGGTATCCTAAAGCACTGAAAGCCACCTTACTTCCCTTCCATCAGCTGCTTACATTGTGTGAACAATTGCTTAATTCGCCTTGTGAATATAGAGCTGTATAACACTTGAATATGTTCTATTCGGGTGAACAAAGACAGATGATAAATCAAACACAAACTATTGAGGTAAGATAGACAAAACTTAGGGCTGATACCGACTGAACCTGCCAACTGTTCACCACGCCTCAAAACATCATTACCTTCACGTTCTTCTCAGAAAAGACTATAGATTCTGAATTAACAAAAATACCTCTCTAAGATAAATGTCGTATTTCTCTCATTCCTTTTTCGGCACAAAATAATTAGCTGCCAACTTGTCCAAATCAAAACAACAGGCTCTACCCACAGAGTACGTGAGGACATTGGGCATTGGCCAAGTTAACCCCCACCAATAAATTCAAGCTATTAAAAGCTGACCTACAACAATCATGTGAGAAATGTTTAGTTAAGACCTCTGTCAATTCATTGACACAACTCACATTGATGTACAGGTTTAACTCATTATTATTTGCAAACCTGGTCTTGAAAGTTCATAACTTTCCTTCAATATCAAGGAGTCCATAAGAGCAATACTAGAAAGGAAAAAAAAAAAATCTTCCCAACACAAAAACACTCCCTACTCAGACCCTCAAGAATGTATCTAATACTCTAATACCTTATTTGTACTAGTTAGCAGCAATACTAAAGAAAAAAAAAATCCCCTTTCTTATTCAACAATTGCAGAGACCTGTGTTGAAAAACCAAGAAGGGCTAAGCATAAACTAAAACAGCATCTGAAGAAAGTGCTGCTGTGTGGAAAGACACCTGAAACCCTGCTAGGATTAATATCAGTTAGTACAGCAATGCACACACACAAAGACACACAAAGAAACACGCAACATTTACACACAGACATACACACATACAGGAGGTATTTTTGCTCAAACTGCCAAGTGCCATTGGCAGGCAAAGTCTTTCATGCCTGGTCAGTGAACCAGCTGTAGCACACACACACACACACACACACACACACACACACACACACACACTCTAGTAAAGGGAACAAATCAGTCAATCTAGTCGTTCAAACAGTGCGGAGTGATAATGGCTCCAACGTGTACATGACAAAAGCACAAACTTGTTACATCTGTCCTGAAGAAACCTGTTTCCATGCCTGAACATTCCCCACAGTAATGCCAAACCAGTGCGTTGTAAAGGAGTCAGGTTGAATGTTGTGTAAAGAGAGACCAGCAAAAGCATTCATTTGGTTTATCAAATACTTTGTGTGTCAAAATAAAGACCTTTATCAAATACTTTGTGTGTCAAAATAAAGACCTTTATCAAATACTTTGTGGGTCAAAATAAAGACCTTTATCAAATACTTTGTGTGTCAAAATAAAGACCAAAAAAAAAGAGAAAGTTAAAATAAACATTTTAAGAGTTATCAGTGATAGATAGCAATGAATTATTATAGAGAGGACGGAATACCATATCACTTTATCAGGCTTGCCAGACTTTTTCAAAAAAACAATCCAACTTTATAACATCGGGTTGGGCAACAAAGAACAAAACTACACCAAGCTGGGCTGGTTTTGGCGTAGTGTCGAAGAGGTGAAGTCTAAAATACCCCTTTCAAATTCCCGATAGCTGAACCCAGAACAGTCCAAGAAAATTTGGTACAGTTGGCAAGCCCGACAAAAAAATGCAGATTTGCACAGAAAGAGTTAATCAAAGATCACTGCCAGGACAAGACAAAAGCCTCAGAAGGCAGCTCATCAAAGAACACACTCACCCTTGTTTCACTGGTCCACTAGAAACTGGTTTACGTATAGTTATGTTGCCAGAATTGCTGCTTAAAGGGTTGTCTGGGAATTTTATTAAAAGCTTCTGGCCATCTATTTCTGTACCCTGTAAATAAATATCAATAACGAATCATGACACAAACCTTTTTTTTTTCCATTTCTTTGAGTGAAGAGAAACACATGTACACACAATAACAGCCACTCAAATCTGGGAGAAAGTAAGATGAATGGACAGAACCAAAAGAGAGGAAAGAAAAGAAGCAGTTGTGCACTCCAACCATTCACTAAAACAAATCACTCATTGAACAAAAAGCATAAAAAGATGCCCCAAAGCAAACAAATCTAGACGTAGTACATCCCATATACTGGTCTCCTTTTTTTAAAATCATAATAACCAAGAACAAAACTGACACAGTCAAGATTAAAACTAAAACAGAGTTCCATAAAAATTTTCAGAATAGAAACGCCAGCAAAAGCAAGGCTAAAAATTTGAGTTGAGACCAGTTAAAAAACTGTAATTTTTTTTTTTTACCTGCAGTTTCCCAATAAAAGTTTTATGATCAGATTCTAAAATAAAAAATTTCATTGACCGATAACAGGAAAGAATTTCAAAGTAAAAATTCCCTGACAACTCACTTCACTGTCAAAATCTTTCAAAAATAATTGTGCCTATAGAGAAATAAAACTTTTTTTTTAGATGTTCAATGCTTAGAACGCCAGACAAAAATATTTTTATTTTGTACAAACAGAAGATACAATCGACATAGTCTAAATTAGCCACCCATTGTCGAGGAGAAATGTGGATGTCTGGGACAGTGCCATCAAAATAATTTTTTTAATTGAAGTGATGGGGGGGGGGGGGGTTATTTTCGACAGGTGGTTGTTAGAGCATATTCAACTGTACTTATTTCCCTATATATACTGTCACACACAGCCTTTGAGCATGAAATTTTTTTTTTAACTAAACATTCAGGAGCACAAAACAAAAACTTGCCTGCAGTTGGTGCATTGCACGTCCAGCTGCCTCCTTAGTTTTGAAGTTGATGAAAGCACAATACTTGTCCGGCAGTGGTCTAACACTGGTCACTTGGCCAAATCTGTAACAGGAGTAGAAGACACATGTCACCTTTGTCCCTATACAGTTTTAGTTTTAGAAAGAGTTTTCTGTTTTTAGTAACAGTTTTACAACACTTGCAACACAATAAGGTCATATAAGTGCCAAAGATTAGAGGTGTTAAAAGTGTAGGAAACACACAAAAAAGGAGGAGAGATACAGACGATAGAGATTTGATAAGAAAGAAGGAGCAAACCACACCAGAGCACCCGCCAACCACCCGCAGAAAGAGTTTTACAGCATTTGCAACACACGCAGGTCAGAAAATGTAGAAGATCATAGAGGTGTTGTAGAAGATCATAGGTGTTCCTGGAGAGTAACATACAAAGAGAAGATTGAGGAGAAATAAGGACAATACACATGTGAGGCAGCGTGGTGAAATCACGCTCTCGTCAAAATAATCAAAGTGAAGAAACTGGCATTTTCCCGCAGGTTTGTGAATTTTTATCAAATTTTTGTTTTTTGGTTCAACACCTTTCATGCCCATTAAAGAACTCATTTCTGTGTACATTTTTCCTATAAAACGTTGATTAAAGACATAGAAAATGTAAATTTTCAGTTACCACGGACTCTGAAGCGAAGGAAATAACTAATCTTTAGCGGCCATTTTCTCACTACTTTTACCTCTGAAAACAGGTGACCCCCACCTCCTTCATTCGCAAATATCTCGACTTGTATTCAAGATAAATGGATATTTTTTCCATCCAAATAAAGACAAGTGAACAAGCTTTAAGATGATACCAATAACTGTACATGCCCAAAAATTGACGAGAGCCTGATTTCACCACGCTGCCTCACATATTTGATAGGAGCACACAAACTACTTCCAGTGCTTCCACCAGCTGAAGCTGAAAAGTAAGGAAAATTCTGCATGGGGTCTGGGGGCCGCAGAGGCCCCCAAGAGGGTCAAGGAACAGCGCCCCGGCGGGGGTTCAGGGGGCGCAGCTCCCCGAAGAAATTGAAATTTAGTGCTTTTAGAGGGTTAAAAATAGCATTTGGGAGCCTGTTTGAAGAGATTGCCTACAACCTAAAATATTTATTTTTTCACCAACATTTTGTCTTGTTTGATTTCTTCACCTACATATTCTTTCCATTGCTGGCAATGTTTAAAAGCAGGTTCCCCTTTCATTGCTACTATAATTCAATTAATTTGTCATCGCACGATTGATAGAAGGCAAACCTGGGAATAAAGAATAGATATGCACCTTCGCAATACAATTAGTTACCCAGCGAATACCGAAAGTTTCCACAATTTTCACTTCTGACGTTGCATGTCACAACCTCGGAACACCACTTCCAATTATTCTTGATTTTAGTAGTTTTAGCATAAATTTATTTCATTGAGGCCCTTATCGTGTTCCCGTGCCGTAGAATCTTCGCACTGATAATTTCTCTAGATCTAGACAATAAATTCGCAAACAAGTTTCTTTCTGACAGTAATTTTCTGTCTATGATCGAAAGTCAATTTACTTGATCAACGCGCATATTTTCCAGCCGCGGCAACAGTCCGAAGCTAGACAGACGGAAAGAGTGAATGATAGAAGGAGGAAATTGGCACAAAAAGTTAACCAGATTTTGATCAATCTGCAGGTAAAAATGTACGGTCGACCAACCCACGATGAATGCATGGTGCATAGCGGAATAATGCCCGATTGCAGGAAACGCGCAATCTGGCAAGTCTCTATAACTTATAACATTAACTTATTGCCGAGAGAATTACCGTAAATATCCATAGCTTAGACAAGAC